TTGAGACAGTGTTTCTCTGCAGCCTTGGCTGTTCTGGACGCAGTTTGTAGACCAGGCTGGCCTCCCTGAGTTCTGGGATTACATGTGTGTGCACAGTGCTGGCTCATGCCATACTTTTTAGCATCAGAGTATCTAATGCTTTAACCATTAAAAATGGTTGATCCCTTCCCAGGAACTTGACCTAATTAATTTACTTACTAATTTTTAATAGTTTAAGAGTCTGTGAACACGTGCCTGCTTAATTTTCCTCCTCCCTCATCACAATGACTGCATGTTCCTCCTTTCTGGGTGCCGATCTTTAAAAGACATGGTAAGGCCCCTCAGGAAAACCTCCCTTCAGCATGTTGTGCTCATGACATTTGATGACTTCCTTAGTCATGTGTGTAATTTGCTGTGCTGACACTTGGCTTAGAGTGTGAGCTTCATGGAGCTTTTTAGACCCTTTCACCTGTTCTATAGTCACACAATAATGTACAGATACAGACTTTTTTGGTAATGTTTTGTTTTAGTGTTAAACAATAGTAGGGTGTGCAGCATTTTCATAGACTAGGGAGCAGCAGGAGTGGGATGGTCAAGGGAGGAAAGAAGTGGCAGAATCACATGTATACCCCGTGCCTCATTGTGGACCTCTTGAAGACGGGTATTTACCCTTCATGAAAACCCAGGTTTGATGCAGATAAAGGTAATGTTAGACCACATTATCGAAGGAATTGTACTGTGAATGGTTGTGCTGAACCCTTTTGGGTATGGTAAGGGAGATGTGGGGGTGTTTATTTGTTTTTTTTAAATCCCCTTTATTTGCGCTAATCCAACTCTCTACACAGCTCTACCACTAAGCTGTACTTGTACCCTCATGAAGGCTTGAATTCAGGCTAAGGAATAGTGTTACTTTTGAATAAATGACAGCAGAGGTTGTAATGATTGGTTTGTATATATATTTATTTGTTTATTTTTCAGACAGGTTCTCATTGTGTAACCCTGGCTGGCCTGGAACTTGCTGTATAGAGCAGGCTGTCCTCAAAGTCTTGGAGGCCTTGCCTCTGTCTCATGAGTGCTGGGCTTAAAAGTGTTTACCACCACACCCAGCTTTCTGTTTTATTTTTGAAACAGGATCTCAAAAGCCCTGACAGGATTAGAACTTTGTGGTCTAGGCTGGCCTTGAACTCCAGAAATCCTCTGGCCTCTAACATTCCTGGCCCCCAGCTATATTCTCTTCATAATTTAAAGGTATAACAAGATTTTTATTGATAGGAAGATGTAGTAGAAGGAAAGGAGTCAGTAATTTAGAAATTTCATAACATGGAGAAGAAAATTCTGGCAGGAATAATTGGGAAAAATCAGTTTTGGTAATGGGTACTTTTAGCAAAATGGAAATGTGAAATACATGGTTGAATGCATAAGTCTGGGAAATGGATCCAGTTGATAGTGGTTTCCCCCTGTGTAGTTTTTACACTAGGGGAAACCACTGTCAGCATAAAGAAGAGGTAGGTTGAGCTGTTGAGTGGTGCAGCATGGAGCAGTTGACAATGAGGAAGAATGGTACCCTTGCAGATGCTTCTCATAGAGCAGGCATGGAGGTCACTGATAATCTGGATAGTGACAAATTAGATTTAGTGGTAGAGCTTGAAAGCCTGACTGGGAGATACCACTACAGGAATAGTACTATATAGGACAATGAAGAAATGAGGTGGGAACTAGGAAAGATCAGTAAAGAGAGAAAATGAAGATGGAAGAAGTATGAAGGTGGGATATAATCTACCAATGAAATATATCTGTAAGTGATAAGAGGGGAGATTGTTCATTATTGTAGATGATCATTCATAGATCATTCATCAGGTGTACCTGAGAAAGCTGGGCATTCCCTCCCTAATGTTTGCTTTCGTTTTTAGAAAACAGGCAGGAAGTGAGGTCATTGAATGCAACGGTAAGGGAGTTGTTAGTGAAGTATTGAAGGGTGAAGATAAGGGTCAGGGCACTGGAAAAATCCTGGTGGAGTAGGACTTTTGAAATGTGAAATACGTAAATGTCTTTCCCTCATCAAATACTATAAAAGTAAATCTCTAGAATTTGACAAAGCTAAGTGCATATTTTCCCCCCTTTTTTTCTATACTAGTCTAAGGCAGAGGCAGGTGAATCTCTGAGTTTGAGGACAACCTGGTCTACAGAGTGAGTTCCAGGAACAGAGAAACCCTGTCTTGAAAAACAAACAAAATGTCTTCATTAACTGATCCGATTTTCTCTTATTAATGCCATCTCAGGATGTTACCCTCATTTCCAAGTTCTTATATTTCTTTCTACTTTATTTTTTATTTTATGTATATATGTACACAACATGCATACCTGGTACTCCTGGAGGTCAGAAGAGAACATCAATCCTGGAATTGGATTTATAGATGGTTGTCACCCACAGTGTGGATTATGTAAACTTAATCCAGGCCCTCTGCAAGAGCAGCAAGTGTGACACCTGAAGAGGGGAGCATATATGTCTCCTTAGAAAGTGGCTCTCAACCTTCGTAATGCTGTGACCCTTTAATACAGTTCCTTATGTGGTAACTGTCAAACATAAAATTACTCATTAGTCATTAGTTCATGACTAATTTTTGCTACTATTAGGAATTGTAATGTAAATATCTTAGGCAACACCTGTGAAAAGGGTCATTTGAACCCCCCCCCCCCCCCAGGGTTTGTGACTCACAGGTTGAGAAACACTGTCTTAGTGTATTCTGTCAGATGGGCTAAGTACATCTCCTCATTCTTTGTTTTAACACATGACTCTTGTGAAACATGCTTCTGTCTGGTAGAAATATAATCAGAATGTGAGTGGGAACTATGTTTGATCACTTAGCCAATGTCATGTGTACATGCTGCTTCTGCATCATCCCTTGGGTGTTGTGACCTTTGGAAGGGCTGACCCACGAAGCCCCATTGTAGATGTCTGAGACAGGACTCCCTCTGCTAGAATTATAGGCAAGGGCCTTTGTACCCCGTGATGAAGGGACTTATTAAAGTTTAGATTGTGTGGGGGTAATGGCTATAAGTGTAGCTGTTTATATGAAGGTCAGAGGATAACTTGCAAGGAACCTACCATGTAGGTTGTAGAAATTGAACTTAGGTCACTAGGCTTGGCAGCATGCTCCTTCCAGACCTGTTGAGCCATCTTGCTGGCCCAGAAAGAGCCAGTCTTGATTATTTATTCCAAATTGGTTGCCTGTAGGTTTTTAATTCTATCATATTATAAAGATAGGAATCTTTATCTTACAATTAAGATGATAATTTTTATAATGAAGGCTCTTCCTCTTTATAATTATGGTTTATTTGGGATCTTCTTAAGTCCTAGATCCTCTGATGTATTTCATCAATGAAATCTTACAGTGTTGTTTTCTTGAATTCTGTTATTATGAATTTTATATTGTGCTTTGATACAGGTCTGTCTTGTCAATTCTTAGGGTGGCTACTTTCAGTTACCCTTGTGAATTCTTTATGCAAAGCGATAGTGCATCCTTCAGGGATTGTTTTAGAAACCCTGCTGATACCAAATTCTGGATGATCAAGTACCTTGATATATATTACGTTCAGCTTCAAACTACAGACATCTTACCATGTGCTGCTTGTTTTGGTGACCTCATTTTTTGTGATAAAATATCCTGACAAAAGCAACTTAAAGGAGAAGAAATTTAGTTTGGGCTACAGTGTCTTAGTAACACACCCATGGTGGTACCAAGAGCATAGACAGCAGGAAGACTAAGCTGGATGTTTACCTTGCCCTTTTAAACCTCACAGTGCTGGAGTATTCATTTTTAAATGAATCATCTATACTTTAGAATTTTTATTTTCATCTGTATGTTGTTTTATGTCTCATTGTGAGGTTTCAGTTTGAGGGTCTGGATTTCCTTGTTTCATTTGTCTTTGTAGTCCTCAGCAGAAGGGATTAAGGATTGGAGTGGTTCTTAACTGGTGGCAGTTCATTTGATTGTTACCTCTGAGGAGTGGCTGGTGCTGCTGCCACAAGTGGATAGGTTGGCCATGCTGCAGCACATAGGGCATCTCGCCACAGCACAGGGTCAAGTACCAGGTGTGTGTGGTGGCCTGCCTATAATTTCAGCACTTAGAAGGTAAACACAGGAGATCCTTAAAGCCCTCTGGCTAGTCAGCCAGGCCTTACCAGCAAGTTCTGGGTTCAACAAGAGACGCTGACCCCACTCAACAACTGTGGAGAAATCAAGCCCAACATCATCCTTTGCCTGCACAGGTGACCATATATACATACAGGCATACAAACATGCATGAGAAAGATATACAAAAGAACCCTATTTATTTTTCATCTCTATTCATTGTTGTGTGGCAGTTTCCTCCAAGATAAAAATACTCCATCTTTGCAGGAAGGTATTAACACTCGGGATGTTGTACAGGGATGCCCTTTGAGACCCAGGCAGTAAACATCTCAGCTGTTTCACAAGCCCTGAAATCCTGACATTGACCAGCTCACTGCAACCTGCTTTTCCCAAGCTCATATAGCAGTAAGAACTGCTGACTTCTTAAAAAGTCAGCAGTATGGGTGTATGGGGGTTTGCCTGAGTACTTACTTGTGTACCTTGTGAGTGCCTCATACCCAAGTAGGCCACAAGAGTGTGTCAGATTTCTTGGAACTGGAGTTGTGGGCAGCTGTGAGTTACCGTATGGGTTAAAATTATTTAGGCTTTTTAGTTATTTGTTTATATTATTTTTTTGAGACAAGATTTCACTTATATGGTCCATGATTGGCCTGGAACTTACTTTGTAGACAAAACTGGCCTTAAACTCACAGAAATTCTCCTGCCTCAATCTCCCAAGTGCTGGAGTTAAAGGTGCCACCAAACCTGGCTTGTTCTGTACTTTTAATGGCAAGAGACTTTTCTAGTCTCCATAATCATTATAGCATGGAAATTACAAGCATCTTTAAAATGTTTGTATTTATGTTTATTGTTAAATAATTGTTAATGGTTTCTGACTTTTTTCTATAGGATCCAGTGGTCCCAGTTCAAAGGCTATTTTATTTTTAAACTGGAGAAAGTGATGGATGATTTCAGAACTTCAGCTCCTGAGCCAAGAGGTCCTCCCAATCCTAATGTTGAATATATTCCCTTTGATGAAATGAAGGAAAGAATACTGAAAATTGTCACTGGATTTAATGGGTATGCACATAATCATAATCTAAAGGTTTAATCTTAACAATAAAGATTGGTTTTTTTTCTTAAGTTTTACTCTATGTGATTGAAAATTGACTATTGTCTCTAGTGCTTGCCAAGTTTTTGCTCATAAATGTTTATAATGTTTATTGAAAAACAACTTGAATCACTTTTATGAGTTTCAGGGTATTCAGACTTTAAACCTGCATGATAGCAGCAACATTCCTTTATCAAAAAATAATATTTCTTCTTTTGTTTATTTGGTAGTATCTTGATAATTGATGAAGTATTTATAGTTAAGAGATTAGTTTATTTAGTTTAGAGTTTATGCGTCCCTTTCTCCCAATAACTAAACATTTAATCTTTTGTAAAACATTGAAAACATCGGGGACACTAAAGGAAATACTAAGTGTGATGCTGTAAGCATGTTGCTGTGCTTCATGTTAGTCTTTGTGTTCCAATTTAGGACTTGATATTTACTGAAGGGGAGACGCTTTTGTGAAGTTGAATTGTTGACTATATTACTTTTGCCACTAGTGATTTAAGCATGTGACAACAGTATGAAATACAGTAAATTGGGTTTATATTAATAAAGTTCCTATTTACTGGTAGGTTTTTTGTGAAGAATTTTTAATTTTATGTTCTCATACCACAAGCAACCTGATTCTTTCGGTGACAGGGTCTTATTGTGTGCCCCTTGCTGGTCTTGAATTCACAGAGATCCACTTGCTTCTTTGACCTTTGTGGGGATTAAAGATATGTACCACCATTTTCAGCTGCTTATTCATTCCCATTTCAAGTGTAGGATTTCGCCTACAATATCAGAAGTTTATGCTCTGACAATGGGTCTATTACTAAAATTGCTTTTTTCAGGAGGTACCATACCTGGTGTTTAGTTTCATCAGACTAGTTTTCCCAGGGGCTTTGGAATGGAAGGAGACTTACCTTGAGTGTGTACCTGTGACAGTTATTTAACTATATGCCTGATCATTATGAGTTTAATTGGAACTTTTAAAAAGCATGTACCAGGAAGAAGCTACATGTTATATGTGTTATATGTTGTATAAGATTCATTCTTGAACTGGATGTATGTAGAATAAACAAACTTGCTTTGTAGAATATTTGTATTTAGTGTGTATATGCACACAGAGTACATTCTTAATATATGGAAGTTAAAATGAATTATAGCACTGCATTGTGAATATTGAGCTAATTTGTAAATTAGTAAGGACAAATAGTCTTAACAACAGATAAGTGGGTTATTAGAGGAAGTTAAAATATTTATGATTTCTTAACATGTTAACATGTATTCATTCATCTACTTCAGATGATTTGAACAGTCATTAAATACCTAAGCACACTTAAATATAATTGCTCTTAAGGTGTTCTTCATCTTTGAGCCATAAGTATTTTAATTCCAGTTTTGAGAACGGCTGTTTGGAATTTTACTCTAATTAGGCAGAATCTAAGTTTAGTTAGTAGTATATTGTGAATTTTCTTTTTAATATTTTGTTTGTGATGTGTGCCTGTGTGTATGTTCATCTGTGTACGTTCCTTCGGCCACCACAGGTTCTCTCAGAATGTTGTCTCCCATTGCTCACTGGCTCTGGATTCACTGATTGGCTAGACTGGCTAGTCAGTAACCAAGCCTCAGGGATCCACTTATCTCTGCCTACCAGCACTTGGGATATAGATGTGTGCTACAACACAGCTTTTATAAAAGTATGCTGGGTATCCAAATCAGGTCCTTGGGCTGGGACACAGCAAACACTTCACCCTCTGGGCTATCTCCTCAGAGCTACTCATCAGTTGAGGCTCATCTTTCTAGTATACTTACATTTATTTAATAGATTGTCTTGGTAAAAGTGCTATATTTTTATTCTTTTTAAAAAGATCCCCAAATAACAGAAATCTATACAGAAAAGAATATTGGAATCGTGTTTTATGCTAGTTGTATTTTTATTTTACAAAAGTTGATACCTCAGTAATCAGTAAGTACATGTATAGCCAGTTTTGTTGTGATGGCTTATCACACTTGTCATTCCAGCATTCAGGAGTCTGAGGCAGGATGATTTAAGACTGCATACTGACCAGCCTGTGCTACATAGTGAGTTCTGTCTTTAAAAACACAAAGGAGAGGGGTTCAGATATGGCTCAGCTGCAAGTGTGTACTGCTGTTCCAGGCGGCCACAATTGGGTGTCCAGCACTATGTCAGGCTCTCTAACAACACCTGCAACTGCAGCTCCAGAGGATTGGATGCTTCCTTCTGGCTTTTCCAACATGTGTTGCCCGTGAGTGCACGCACACACGAGCATGCACACAGACACAACAAAATATTTTTTTTTAATCCAAAAAGAAAAGAAAAAGTTTTCTTCTGTGGTTATGTTTTTTTTAAATATGTGAACAACTCATAATATGCCTTTCTCTCTATGGAATTAAGCGGGCCTTTGTTTGTTTGTTTGTTTTTCCTGGAAGTAAAGTGGGAGGAGCAATACTTGTGAACCACGCTTGTTTGTAGTGCATATTGAACAGACCATCTTGCTGATTTGTTGCTCAAAGCAAAAGCATATCACACCTAAACAGGTTGTTACCTTATTCTTTGTGGTTGTGTTCTCTGGGTGTGGTGTGGTGTGATGTGGTATAATGTGTGTGTGTGTGTGTGTGTGTGTGTGTGTGTGTGAGTGATTTGTCACAGATCGAAATCAAGCCCTTTGCAAAAATCTAGCCCTAGGCCAGCATTTTACCACTGAGCTACCTCCTACCCCTATCATAAAATGTTCACTTATGCCTTTGTGTAGTAACTAAAATTAGTGTAGTTTTGTGCATTTCTGTGTATGCTTTTTGGGGGTTTTGTGTGTATTTTTAGTGTCTATTTTTGAGGTGCCAGGTTGGACTTTTGGAAAATAAAATGGGATTATTTTTTTCAAGTGTCAACCCTTTTCATTATTTGCTGTTTGTTTTCTTACATTTTTGCTAGTTCTTGGTGTGTGTATTTTGTTTGCATGTGTGTCTGTGCACCATTTGCATGCATTCCACTCCGTGGAAGCCAGAGTGAGGCGTCAGATGACCTAGGACTGGAGTTAGAGGTGTTTGTGAGCTGCCATTTGGGTCCTCTACAAGAGCAGCCAGTGCTCTTAACTGCTGAGCCATCTCTCTAGTCTTGTTCTGTTTGTTTTATTGTGTTGCTGGGCTTTTAGTTTTTAAATGTTGTAAATTAAATGGCTCATAGTATCTTAACACATATCACCATCTGAATTATTTTAGTAAATTTTGAGTATGCAAATTTTTGCTCTTTGAGTTGCAAGTTATTCACTCATTTCCTATTTTAAATTTTTTCTTTATTGAAAATAGGTTTTTTTGTTTGTTTGTTTTTCCATACAGTATATTCTGATTATGGCTTTCCATGCCTATCCATACCTTTTTTCCTTTGGTTTCCCCTGAGAAAACAAGCAGGTATCTAAGGAATTAAAAAAAAAAAAAAAAAAAAAAAAGTAAAAGAAGATAAAAATAAAAACAGGACAAAACAAACTAAGAAAAAGAAAAAGCACAAGAAACACATATATTCACACACATTAATCTTATGAAAACACAAAACCAGAAACCATAGTATATATGCAAAGGGCCTGTAAAAAATGCCTAGATACAAAATTATGATACAGCTTCCAAAGATGCCATTGCGTTTACCTTCTACTGGGCGTGGGGCCCTGCCCTTGATTTTCTCTGATGAGACTCCCCGGAATAAACTAGTTTTTCGTTTGTAAGTGATTGTTGATTGGAGATAGCTTTTGGTTAGGGACCAGAGTGTATGTCCACATCTCCTCAGCTTCAGGACCCTATCTGGTGCAGGCCCCGTGCATGCTGCCACAGTCTCTGTAAGTTCATATGCTATGTTTAGAAAACCTTTCTGTGTTGTCTTCCATCCTCTCCAGCTCCTACACTCTTTCTACCTCCTCTTCTATAGAGTTCTCTGAGCCCTGAAGTGAGGGATTTGATAGAGACATCCCATTTAAGGCTGGGTGTTCCTAAGTCTATCACTCTCTGCACATTGTCTGGCTTTAGGCTCTGTATTTGTTCCCATTCGTTGCAGGAGGAATGGTCTTGAATGATGACTAAGCTTGGCACTGACTGATCTGTAGGTATAGTAGAATATCATTGGGAGTAATTAATTTCATTGCTATGTTTCTTTAGCAGAAGAGTAGTATTTGGTTTTCTCCTGATAAAGGAACATAGCAATAAAATTACTATCAAAGATAGAGGTTTCGGCCACCCAAACCCATCTCAAGTATGGGTTCCATCTCATGGTGTGGGCCTTAAATCCAATCAGGTATTGATTGGTTACTCCCACAGGCTCTGTGCAGCTATGCACACGCATATCTTGCGAGTAGGTCACCATTGTAAATCGAAGGGTTTGTAGCAGGGTTGGTTTTTACTTTTCTTCTTCTTTTTTGGTAGGATACAGAGTACTGTCCAGTATCATGAACACTATTTCATAGGGGTGAAGGCCTCAAGTAGTACCAGATCAGATCGACTTCTTTGTATTCATTGAGTTATGTTGATATTGTCTTCATCAGTAGGGTCTTATTTTGTGGAGATCAACCAATAGGCTGGGTTCTTGGGGTATGTCTGTGGGGCCCCTTTTGCCAACAACTTGATTAGATGTAACCTATCCTTAGAAATGGAGGCTTCATTGGTGATGAGAGATGTCTGATTAGGGCTTTGTCTCTCCCATTATTTGGTGATTCCATTTAGATTTCTTATATATACATATATATTTTACGAAGCTTCTATTTGTGGTTTTTCATAGAACCTCTCAAATGGTACTTCGTTTTTGTCCCTTTCCATATTTTCTCTCTTACCCCCTTTCCACTTTCTGTCCGGTTTATCCTTATTTTAGTACATTTTGAGTGTGCAGTATTTTTTCTCTTTGAATTTCAAGTTGTCCACTCAATTTTCCTTTTTTAAAATTATTTGAACTTTTAGCTTCCAGGCATAACTGACTTAAGCAAGACTTAGAAGGGTGTAGATCTAGACTGGTAGGTTTTCTGTGCATTGAAAACTTGAGTGATAGTTTTATGTATGTGTTTGCTGCACATGTGTAGCTCTTCTGTCTACAGTTGAGGCACCAGTTTGTACTTTTGTAAAGTTTTAATTTTTTGTGATTGCAACAGTTTTAAACAGGTTTGCTGTTTTCTTTACCATTAGCTCTGGTTTTCATGTGACTGAAAGAATTGGTCCCTCCTTTTGTTACTTTGTTCTTCACTCTTCTACATTTTCTGTTCCTTTACTGGTTGAGAAAATGTTTGTTGTTGTTAATTACTTGGGTCAGCATTTGTTAACTGGATAAATCTGTTAATATTTTTGGAGATTATATGTCATGTTTAGTCTGCATATATGTATGTTTGTTCACCTGGTGCTTGTGAGGATTTGAAAAGCATCTGATATCCTGGAATTGGAGTTACAGATGGTTGTGTGCTGGACAAAACCCAGGTCCTTTACAGGACAGTAAGTGCTCTTAACTGTGGAGCCATCTCTAGTCCAGTGAATCTATTCGTTAAAATGTGCTTATTTTCTTCTATCCCCTTTTCATAGTATTAGTCTAGAATAATTCGCTACACTTTGGTACTTCTTCCTTCTCACCCTCTTCCCTCACATTGCCTTGTGGTAAAAACTCACGATTTTTACATTTTGTATATATAGCATACTGAGTTGATTTTAGTGTTCCATATGTGTTTAGTTAGTTGTTTAGAACTAACTCATCACTTATAACTTTTTAGGGGTTTCATTCCTGGCTGAGACTTACTTTTATTTACTGTGTGTGTCCACCCGCGTGTACGATAATCAAATAAAATTCTTAAAATTGGAAAGTAGGATTTATTCATAGCTAGTTAATTTTTGATACATATTTGGTGGAAGTATAAAGTAACAGTTTATAAAACTGTAGGTACTCAGACATGATTAACTTAGTTAAAGGCTTTGACTGCTGCGGATTGATTTTTGGGATGTGGGCTGATACAAACATTAATGTACTTGCAGCAACCTTGGGACTTTTTTGCCAATATTGAAAGGGACTCGTCATTTAACTGCTAAGCCTTGTTATGAAAGAACATACTGCTTCAAGTAAAGATACTGTTATTAGACTTGTGCTTCTGAATTGTATGACATAATAAAACTTGGAGCTTCTTCAGCTTTTATTTAATACAGTACCATATATGGAAGAACTGAGATTTTGAATGAATGAATGCCCATGGTAGTGGTAAAGCCTTCCTCTCGTAAAATGTTGTCCATGGTAGCCCCTGGATGTTTATGGCCTGGGGATAGTTTTCCTACAGAGTCTGTTCCTACTGAGGTTAAACCACCTCCTTGTTCCCGTGTAAATAATTAGCATGCTGAGCTTCTTGAGTGCTACAGTTTATCTGCCTAAGAGAACAGACCACCTCATCCTGGCTTTTCTGTGTTGGTGTGTCTTTATGTCTGTCCTTTCTTCATTTCCTCACTTCTTCCAGTCAGGGTTCTGGGAACCTTGCAAGGACATAGCAGCAACTTACCATTGTCTATGCACCTTTGCTAGTCTGGAGCTCACAGGTCCATCTGCCTTCCTCTACCACACTTAGTGTCTGTTCGGTTTTTGATGATAGATATTTAAGTTAGATTTCATTAATAGTGTATCAGACTGAGTAGAAAAGAAAGACATTCTAAAACTACATGCTACACATAGAAGTGAAGAAATAGAGCCAGCTGTGGTGGCACACATCTTTAATCCTAGATAGAGGCTGGCAGGATCTCTAAGTTCAAGGCTGGCTTGGCTCTACAAAGTGAGTCCAGGATACCTATGGATATACAGAGAAACCATGTCTACAAAAAAACAAAAACAACAACAAAAAAGTGAGTGAATGGCACTTTGGACTCTTTATTTTTTTAGAATTTCATATATATGAGTGCTGCATTTACATAATTCCTACCTCCTGCATTCTAAAACTCACGATTTTTACATTTTGTATATATAGCATACTGAGTTGATTTTAGTGTTCCATATGTGTTTAGTTAGTTGTTCAGAACTAACTCATCACTTATAACTTTTTAGGGGTTTCATTCCTGGCTGAGACTTACTTTTATTTACTGTGTGTGTCCACCTGCGTGTAGGTTTTTGTACCACATGGATGCAGGAGCACCGTGTGTGTATTTGTCTGTGTCTTTGTGTCCCTGAATGTAGGTTTGTGTACCACATACATGCAGGAGGACCTTTAGGTCAAAACTCAGATTCTCTGTAAAGAGCCATAAGTGCTCTGGTCCTCCTCTCTATGCAGTTTGCCTGTGGCTTTTTGTCTTGGGGAAGGGCCTTGTGTGATTTTCTTCAACCATGTTGGCACATGAACTGTTGTCATTATGCAGGTCTTGTTTGAACAGTTCTTTCGAAACTTAATGCTGCAGCTTCCCTGTTACGTCTATAAGACACTGTTCAGCAGCAGGCATCTTGAGATTCTCTGGCTCATGCAGTCTCCTCTTCCCCCCCCCCACCCTTATGCAATGTTCCTGAACCTTAGATATAAGGGTTGCATTGTAGGTGTATCAGTTGTAGATTTTGTACTTTGAACATTTGTGGTTTCTACCTGCTGTTAAAAAAAAAGCTTCTTTGACAAGGGTGAGAGCTGCATACACTTATGTGTGGGTATAAAGATAAATAGATGCAGTTAGAAATGCTGGTTTAGGAATTAGAAGGGTCTCCTCAAGGATCCATGATCTTGATCATATGTGGGTAGTTGACTCGGTTTACAGTAACAAGCATGAATTCCCTCCTATTTAGCCAGCCTGAAGTCCAGTTAGTTGCTGTTGGTTAGCCCCAAGGTAAAAGTGCCATTACTCAGCCATTGGAGATATCTTGCTGGTCTGGTCTTGTCTGTAGGGTTTATGGCTAGGTAGGACTAGTGACTGCTCCTCTCCCTTGGCGGTTGGCATAGCACCTTTGGATACTTTAGAGCTGGTCTTCAGGAAGGAGGCTACCAGGTTAGTTCTATTTATTCTTCCAAGTCCTGTGTCTGGAGTGTGCATGATATCTTCATCAATAGTGTCTTAAATTCACATTCTGCTAGGCAACCAAGGGTGTAATGGCTTATATTGTTTGGAGAGTCTCTTATACTTCTTAAATTAAAAAGCAAAACAAAACCATGAAACCACTGTGATTTCTATCAAATGTCTGTGGTACAGCCAAATGTATGGGTTTTGAAGTTAGAGAAATTGGGTGGCATTATCACATACTAGTTGCATTTATAGGGTAGACTGTTGTGTGAAAATGAAGGCACTGTGAATATTGTTTGTGAATTTGAGGCTTTGCAGTTCTCTGCATAAGCAGCATAAGTAGACTTAATGGAAAACACTGAAATCCAAAGATGTGTTTTGTACATTTTTTTTTCTTCAGCATTTGTCATTTAGTACTCACATTACACTTAGCTGTGATTCTGATGATTGTTGATAATTTTGTGATCGCAAAACCTTTTTTAAAAAGTTGTTTATTTTTAGGAACTAAAGTTAATTTTATATACATATCAGGACATAATAGACATTCCCTGATTGAGTAGTTTGGCTTTTTCATAGTTTTATAGAAATAATGTTGAGTAAAGTACATTACAGTGAAAGGGAGACAAGATGTGTAAAACTGCTAAAAGTACTAAAATTATTGGGGTTATAAAAGCAACCTAAGCAATCGAAATAGATTTATTTTCTTCTTTATAGAGTTTTATTTGGGAATTAATGATACTACAAAGAATCATGTCTATGTTGGTCCCTATGAGCAAATAAAAAATTTAGAGTTCTAGTAACACATCTCATGGATATTTTCCAGTAGTTGAAGGCACAGCACTAGTACAATGTTAAAGATTGTTGGAATTTATTATAATTCAGCTGCACTGTAAATTACATAAATTACTTCAAAGACACTAAAAAATTTGTTTATTTTTATATGTATGGTTGTTTTGCCTGAGTGTAATGTCTGAGTATCTGGTGTGTGCCTGCTTCCCACAGACACAATGCTGTTGAATCCCTGGGGACTTGAGTTACAGAAACTTGTGAGTTGCTGTGTGGGTCCTGGGAATCAAACCTGTTCCGCTAGAAGAACAGCTAGTGCTCTTAACTGATGAGCCATATTTCCCATTTCCTCCAAGCTCTTTCTGCCAAGTCTTGTTTCAAGACTTTCAGTCTTTTAGATTTGCTGTAATTAAGGGGAAACTGCATTCTTGTAAAAGTGTTTGGTATAGAAACCAAAGTTTTTAACAAAATTGTAAAGTTTGATTAAATGTATAGATTATATTAAAAATTGTAGTAATGGAGCAGAGTCATATTTAAAATACTTTTTGTGCTGACTACTTTACCGAACTATATCCAGTAATAAAATGATATATGACATTGAGTAAAATGTTTGGGTGCAAAAGAATGCTTGAGAAAACTTTGCAAATAAACTGACAGTTATGTTTGTCTTGTCTCTCTTACAAAGTTCTAATTGAATGGTCAGAATGTAGAATATTGTGCTAAGTTTTTTTCCGGAATGAGTTTTGAAGCATTCTGTTTTTCATGTTCCTTCTTTTTGCTGACTGATTCCATTTAACACACTGTGTGTGACTCGGCAGAGCTTTTACTGTGAAGCACTGCTCCTACTTTCTCCCACTAAAGGCCTTACACTGTAAAATTATTATTTTGCAGTATCCCTTTTACTATTCAACGACTATGTGAATTGCTAACAGATCCAAGAAGAAATTATACAGGAACAGACAAATTTCTCAGAGGAGTAGAAAAGGTATGTATTCTGTCACAAGAATTAAAGTGAAACCTGAAAGGTCCCAGAAAAGAGCACTGACAAGAGTTGTTTCATAGACTGTTGACTGAATTGTGTTTTCTAAATTACATTCAGTGTTTCACAGAAAGAAATTTATAAGCTGGGGCAGAAGAATGACCCAAGAGGTCCTAGGCAAGCATTAATTTTAAATTTGAGGAAATGGCTTGTTTTGTTTATAAGTGTTTTCTTCATCAAACATTAAAAAACAAAACCAAACCAAAGCCCTTCAAAAAGACATGAGTGTTAGCAGTACATTGTAAATATTGCTGTGGAATTCTAAAGGCACACAATTCAGAGGCACACAACTTTGGAAATTAGAGTGTAAAGCATTAAATGATACATGTTGAATAGAAAGATCCAGATTATGGGAGGAATGGTACTCATGAGTCAGGAAAGAGTATTCTGGAGAAAGGAAGTACCTTAATACCCAAAGTTGTACCATATCTCATATGGTAGTTGATCCTAAAACATTCTTTTTTTTTGTTTCAAAATCAGTCCTTCCTTTTACTCTGGGAACAGGAGTCTAAGACCATTAATTTTGGGTTTTTCAGTAGTTCTTAAGGCTCACCAGACTTGTATGTTCTGTTGAGCCTTCATGTTGTCTGTTAATGAGGGTTCATCAGCACTTCAGCGTAAGGACCCTGAGCGATTGTGTTTTGGGTGTTTTTTGTTTTGTGCTTTTTTTTTTTCTTCAATGGACAGAGTATCCCTGCCAACATTTGCCAAATCAATGCTTCAGTGTTTTACAATCTGAGCCAGGGATTTAAACAAAATTTTCTCTGAAATTTGGATGATAGGCCTTTGAGAAAGGGACCTTAAAGGTAGTACTCCTCTGGCGCAATCTGTAAAGGAGGGCATTTGGTCTCTCCTTTGGCTGAATATTATTTTATAGATAAGAAAATTCATTATACTTGGACTTAATATTTGAATTTCAAAATAGTTTTAGAAGAGAGACTAGGGATTTGGCTCACACAGACCATCACCTTGGTGAGTAGATGCCATACTTCTGTGAGGACCAGAGTTTGGATCCCTAGAACCAACATAAAATGGTGGTATTTATGGTGGCCTGCTTGTAATTAATTCCAGCTTTGAAAGGTGGAGACAGGGGATCACAGAACAAATTGCCTGTTGAGCACTGGGTTTAATTGAGAGGTCCTGTCTCATTGAATGAATGCATGCACAGGAAAATGGAAAATAAAATGGACAGTGCTGTTACATACAGTGCACGTTGTCTGGGTCCCAAAATACGGATTTAAAAAGAAGCCAGTAAGAGGTATTTAAAAGTGAAACAACATTCTCACATGCAGTATGGTAGTTTCCAGTAGTCATAATGCCATTTATCTGATTTAAATTATTAGAGTTGTTCTTCCTTTAAGAAAAGAAAATATTTTATCCTGGTGTGGTGGTACAAGCCTTTAATCCCTGCACTTGGGAGTCAGAGACAAGCCTGTCTCTGAGTTCTTGGCCAGCCTGGTCTACATAATGAATTCCAGGCCAGCCAGACTTTAAAAAGGGTAGGGTGGAATTGGTGGGAGTGGAGATCAGACCTGATCCTGAGACCAGACACACATGCATACAAGATAAATAAGAATGTGATATAGCAAGCCAGTGAGCGTTGCAGTCAGACCCTCTGGAAGTCTTGTTGCTCTTAGTTTTTGTTTTATTGGTTTTCATTTTGCTTTCATTTGGAATAAATGGAGGCTTACCCTACTCATGAGGGTGATTCTGAGAATTTCAAACAAATGCTTAAACTTTTTTGTTACAGTGGTTTTTTTTTTTTTTCTTCATTCATTGAGTCACCAATTTTTGTTGTTTCAGAATGTGATGGTTGTTAGCTGTGTTTGTCCTTCTTCAGAGTAAGTATAGAGATTTTTTTTCTGCTTTTGATAAAAAGTACTATATTCTAATTATTTTAATATGTTGTTCAAATTGCCTGCATCTATTTTATATGTAACTAAACATTATAATATCTATTCACTGTGAAATCTACCACCACCTGGTCCCTCAGGGTAGAAAGTTGCCAAAATACTGCTCAACTGTTTCCAGTAGAGAGATTTGAACCAAGGAGACTGATGAATTACTGCAGTTTTGGCCTCTTAGATGCTTTTCCAGCATTGACAGTTAGGTTTGAAATAAAGTACTTCGTGGTATTCTCCATGATGGACAAGTATTGCTAGTTGTCAGGATTTCTATACCAAATTAAAAACTTGGGTGGGTCCGTGCATCTTTTCAGTCATGTCACCATTAGTGTTTAGGTCTGTGCATTTAGCCTTCAGAGACTGTAAGTGCCCTGGGGCACGGGAAAGAGAGGCTTCTGGATCGCTGCCTAGTGCCATTTGTTTCCTAGACAATAACAGCAGTTTTGTTTTTAGAGCTCTTAACTTTACCTGTCTTGCTTGGTAGAAGAACCAAAAAAATTATGGTCCAAAATTGATTTCCTTTTGGATTAAATGTTTTGCTTTTCTGATGAATGTGAAGTTATCTGAAGAACAGTCCAAGAGGTTTGGAAGCAGGTGTCATTACTAGTTTCTCAGCCCATACTCAAGTGTGTGAGTTGGTGTGTGTGTGCTAATGTGTATGAATTTGACAACTGTGTTATGAAAGACCTTCTAGACCCAGATCCTTTTTAATGTGTTTATTTTGCTTATTCTGTGTGTTTTTGCCTGCATGCATGTAAGTATACGTTGTTAGTGCCATGGAGTTGAGAAGGGGCCATCAGTTCTTCTTAATGGGAGTTATGGGTGATTGTGAGTTGCCTTTGGGTGCTGGGAACAGAACCCAGATCCTCTGGAAGATCAGCTTGTGCTCTTACCTGCTGAGCCATCTCTAGCCCTGCACCCAGATTCTTACCAAAATTAGTGAGCTGCTTATAAACCCTCCTTCCTGCTGTTCTTCCATTATTGCTTATTTCTCTGTGGCCCTGTCTGCCCTGGAACTTTATGTAGTCCAGGCTGGCCTGGAACTCACAGAGCTCCACTTGCCTCTGCCTTCTAGTGTTGGGATTAAAGTCATATACTACCATGTTCACCTGAAATGTTTTCTTTTATTATAGGAAAAACAATTCTAATAGTTTAAACAGAATGAATGGTGTTATGTTTCCTGGAAGCTCTCCAAACTATACTGACAGGTGAGAATATTGTAGGGTTTGTTTGTTTGTTTGTTTTAAACCATCTAGAGTGTCTGTGTTTTCTAGTAGCATTTGACTTACCAAGTTTAGTGTACTTTTTTTTTTAAAGATATATGTATGTATATATGTATTTATTTATGTATATGGGTACTTGGTCTGCATGTACATCTGCACATCAGAAAATGACATCAGACAGTTGTGAGCCAACATATGGGTGCTAGGAATTGAACTCAGGACCTTCGGAACAGCAGTGAGTGCTCTTAACCACTGAGCCATCTCTCTAGCCCTACTTTTTTTTTTTTTTTTTTTTTCATTTTATTGGGAGGGTACAAGATCCATGTTACATTATGGAAGATATACCAGGCTACATTTGCTAATTAGGGTAAGGCATGGATTCGAAAGCCAGAATTAGTGCAAAATATTTGCGATATGTACTTTGGAAGGGGTGATTGAGCTATATAAAATTTTAAATTATTTTTAATTTCTATATTTTCATATTTTTGTAAAAGTGGAAAATGATGTTAATTTATCTCGTTATAGGTCTAATATAAATGGGCCTGGGACACCCAGGCCACTTAATCGACCAAAGCTTTCTTTGTCAGCCCCCTTGACAACAAATGGTTTGCCTGAGAGCACAGATAGCAGAGAGTCAGACCTGCAGCAAAGTGAAGAGAAAGCCCACAGGTTTGTGTGTTTTATATTTAGAGAGAGAAATGCATAGAAAGTTTACATCTATTAATGCTTCTTAGCACTGTTTACTATTCACAAGGTACAACAGACCTTCTGTATTTTAATGGGCTCCATCTATAGGCATGGAAGGTTAAAAGATCAAAAGTAATTGAGGGATAAAACTTGGATTTGTGCTGGTTAGGTACAGACTTTGTCCCCACTGCCCATAGTGTTTACTTCAGTAGGTATTATGTCATCTAGCAGGGATTCAAAGTAGAAGGGAGGCTCTGTGCATGTCCTTTGAGGTCTTTTGGGCTTTGGTGCCCTTGGGATCTGGGAACTTCCCTTGGGTTCTGTGGGATGATCTATTTACTGTCCCAAGGGACTGAACAGTCCTTAAAGTGGCTGACGGAGCTGGAGCTTCTGGGCTGCCTCAATACAGCTGAAGGTGATTGCAGACAAGATTTTCTAGAATTTCCCAGAATGGGCATAGAACTTGCCCAATGGATCCTTGATGGGAGTATTCATGAAACAGTTCAGATTGCTTTGGAATTTTTCTCTTGTGTTTTTCTTAGCACAAATATTGCTGTCTAATTTGATAGTGCAATTTGTTAAGTATTGTAGATTGTGAGGAAAATAATTTTATTAATGACACTTCAAAAACCATTTGCAGTGATTCTCCAGCATCTGAACCAGAAGTTTCCTCAATGAGCCCTGTTAAAAATAAACATCCAGATGAAGATGCTTCAGAAGCTGAGGAGCATGAGGTGAAAAGACTGAGGTTTGACAAAGAAGGTGAAGTCCGAGAGACAGCTGGTCACACAGTGTCCAGTGAAGGCTCCTCAGTTAGGGCAGAGGAAACGGAGGTAGCGTCTTCCCCTCCGGAGAAGGACAGAGACAGTCGAACTAGGCAGCACTGTACAGAAGAGGACGATGAGGAAGAAGAGGAGGAAGAAGGTGAGAAAGGGGGGGGAGATTCCCCCACTCTTCCCACCCCCATGTGCTTTCTACGCCGGGGCTCCTCACCATGCTGGTGTTGCGCTCTTGTCCCACCTGTGTGTGGTTGAGGCCGTATGAACCGTAGATAACAGGATTCATGAAACTTAACTGGGTTTGTTTAAATAGAATTTAACAACAGCATTTGCTTATTTCTAGAATCTTTTATGACACCAAGAGAAATGATCCCAGAAAAAAAAAATCAAGAAAAAGAATCTGATGACGCCTTAACTGTGAATGAAGAGACTTCAGAGGAGAGTAATCAGATGGAGGATTCTACTAGGTCTCCAACTCAGAAAGAGTCCCATGCAGAAAGGAGTGAAAGTACAGGGGCTGTGAGTAGTTCTGACTGCCGTGACACAGAAGAGTCAGGAGGGTCCCCCTCCAGTAAAACTGGAGAAAGTGTGTCAGAGGCATCCATGGAAAATGATGACACCACAGACGTCACAGACGAACCAATGGAACAAGACTAACTATTTAGAAACACTTAGAGGCAGTATTTTACATACAGTTCTGGTTTTACACTGTATAAAACTTTTAAGTAATAAATAAAGTGGACCTTTAGTTTTACAAGAGAAACAGGCTGTAAAATAAAGAACCTTAAGAATAAACCCCGAGAGAGTTGTACATGGAAGAGCTGTGAACACCGGCTCCTCTGGGTCCCGCTTATTGCTGATTTTCTTGTTTTGTTTGGGTTTCTGTTTGGTTTTTCCTGGTGTACTCAAATCAGTGGTTTGTGTATAGATTTTTTTTTTTTTAATTTAGAATTAAAGTTTTTAAACTGGAAGATAATTATAATTTTGAAAACTTTTTGAAGGTGATGACATTTGGTTTATACATACACAAGGAAGATTTTTGTCTTGTCTCTAGTGGTTTCCATATTTTTTGGTAATAGTTTAAAACATGTTAACATGTGAATTACATAGGGTTTCATGTGGTTTCAGATTTTTATTGTTTGACTGTACAATGGAACTTTAAGTCATATATACATATATAGATTATCCTAAGGGGGAATGTTCTATTTTTCTGTTTCTATAAGAGATGAATACAGTGGATACTTTTTTATTGGTGATGACTGAGTTCACTTCTTTCAGAAGACATTTTGTTTCTCTTCTGAGTAATTGAGATACAATCTGGCCCCTGTGAAACCCTGGAAATCTTAAGTATGTTGAAATACCAGGTTAAACACATTCCAAGAGATCTGTGCAAATTATACTTCTAAGGTGCCTGAGGGAAAAAAAAAAAAGACTTCATTATTTATGAGAAAATGTGCTTTATCTTGGGAGTTTTGTTGAAGCATTAGCTCACGGTTAGTATGAGCACTTACAGCCTACTATGAAACCATCTCAGAAGAGCCTGTAGGTCTCATGATGCTTGGTTGCTTTTCTGAACATTGTGAACATTACGCCTTTCTTTTTGAATTATGCCATATTCACATGGCACTGGTGGGAGACATCACGTACCGGAAGAATTAGAGATTACTTCAGTAAGGCACCTGAGCTAAAGTGACTAAAGCTTTAGGGGCACACGGAAACCACCATGGTTTGTATAACAGTTTGAAGGGAATTAACATTTTTGAACATGCTTCTGCGACAGCCAGTGTTATATTTTTCAGATCAACACAAAGCACAATGGTTACTATTCTAAACTCAATGTTTTCAAATTCACATATTTAAAGTCATGCAAGCTGCAACTTCCCTGTCAAAATTACTGGCTGCCAAATTTATACTTGTTTCTTCAGCTGTACTTTTTGATATTTAGAATTTTTAAATTTCTGTAAAGTAGATTTTGTAGACTGTAATGTGTTCACTGCCTTTGTGAAGCGGTATATAATTGTATAATTTCGTGTGTAACTGAATGCTTGGGCTTTCAATACAGTATTCATATAAAGCAATAAAAATGTTATGAAATATTTGAGTACATTTTTATCAAAATACAGAAGAATCCCTTTTTTAGTTTCAGATACCTGAAGTACACAGATGGACTATAATATCTGATGCAAACAGTTTCTCACACTGTATCATAAGCTTTGGTGATTCGGAGGGAAACCTGGTTTCCATTTTGACTACTTAGACATTATTCTGGCTAGAAACAAGATATGCAGCTTCGTTTGTTCATAAGGTAATATACTACTGATTGACGACCTTCGGGTTTACAGCAGCTAGATGATGTATTTATGAATCTGTCAGATAAAATTGAATGTTGGTTTCCTGCTCCCAAGAAGGGTGGAAATCAAACATAACCTTTAAAAATTTTTGGCAAAAATGTTAAAATGAAGCAAATTTCCAGTGTGACTTTTATTTGTAGTGACCCGTTACTCTATTTAGTTGAGGGATTGCCAGTGAGAGCAAATTTTAAACATTTTACGTTTAGAAAATTTGAGGTTTTCCTTAGGGTATTTATGAGATTGTTGTCAATAAACCTGTTCTCTAAGCTCCTGTGACCTTTGATAGTCTTTATTTATGGTGCCATGGACCATTTGCAGATGAATCAGTTTGCTGCTGGTTAAAAGTTAAAGATTTAGCATCATGAATGGAGGTCTGTGGTTTTATTTGTACACTTGCAACTTACTATCTTTGCAAGGGGAACTGTATTTCTTTATTAAATAAAGTAAAATTAATAATGGTGAATGTACCAAAATGACATCACTCAATTCTATGAGAGGTCTGCATTTTAATCTATAGTTTAATAGTTTTAATATTTATTAGCTATTCCTATGTTGATCATAGAAGAAAGTTGTTGCTGTTTATACAGATACATGTAGGATACTGGTGGAGGCTCTCTAGGGCAGTGCAATACTTCTCACATTGTGAAACCATGTTCAACCTGGCTGTAGACTCATTGGCCCCTTGAAGTCCATTTCCACAAGTATTGTTAGATGAACTTAAAAGAGACATCATGCAAGGGACGCATCAGTACTAACACAAACTGAGTCATTTGTTAATGTTGAAAAGGCAAGTTCTATGTACATTTTCTTAATGACCCTGCAGAGTCATGGGAAGATTGAAGGGAGAGTCAAGACTTTGGTGGCTGAAGTAGCTGGCCCTTTGATGTTGAATAGATTCTTAACTCTTTCTCCATCCCTACCGGACATGGAAGAATTGAGTGATGCTGATGAGAAAAGTATACCTGTGTCATGTTTTTTGCCACCTTTTCCTTTTAAATAAAAGTTTTGAAAACACATTTTTGAAAAAATGTCTTTTCAGTTTTGTAGAACCGAAGTGAGTAGTGAAGATATATTTTGAGTGTTATTAGATAAGTTTAATCTACTTAATGTTTGTCACAATTACAGCCTTTCCCATGTGTAGTCAGAGCAACAGAGTTAAAATGCTTTGGCTTTGGAAAGCTGTCCCAGCAATCCTATGTCAGAAAGTCTGGCCTGGTAAAGCATTGAGATCCCGGTGTTCTATTTTGGCAGTGTAGATAGGCATGTAGTAGGCATTTGTAAAATCAATTTTCAAATAATAATGTATGTAATGTACTAGCTTACTTAATGGTACTTGGGCAGAGCCTAAAGCTGCTGCAGTGTTTGAATGTGAAAACTGTAATGAGAAGACGGAAACAGCCAAAGCAAATCATTCTGGGTAGTGTTTCAGATTGCCTTTTGAGCAGGAGTTTCTTAGATCTATTGGTTTTGACAAAGTGAAGGTCAGTTCTTGAGATTTGTGCTAATCATAAGATGAATGGATGCAAAAAACACTTTGTAATTTCATATGGAATTATGAAAATTAGCTTGACGGGGTTATTGGCCTAACAAGGATGCTAGTATGTATTGGCTAAAATACATATATTTCACATTTAAAAAATAATCCGGACACCAGAATTTTCTTTTATTACAATTTGGAGCCTAGATCACTTTGCCAAATAAATGTATTATTTTCATAATGCAATAAAGTGTAAAATAGAAGAATGTCTTCATGTGTGGAATTACTTTATTTACTGTTCTGGTCCACCTGCCTCTTCCCCATTGCTCCTCAATTGAGGATCCACAAGCATTTCCTGTTCCACAGGGAGGAACCCTAATACCTGACTTAAGTACGCAAAAGAAATTGGAGGGTGGCAGCAGGGAGATGCAGAGCTGCATGGACAGCTGGGGATTCTCGGACCTGTGTGTAGAACTTGGTTGGCAGAAGTTGGCATTAATTTTCATGCAATAATCTGTGTTTTGGAATCATTTGAGAAACCATACCTTGAGGCACCTGCATGGGAGGTGTTTGGAGAGATGGTTTACAGTTGGTTTGTGGCCTTACACAAAATGTTGCAGGGTGGGAGTGAGTTGGGATTTCTTCTCACTCCTGGTTGACCTTTGTCTTGCCTCCACTGCTTACCTGCTCAATGATGCAGCTAGCACAGAATTGGGGCTGATAGGAATTGAGAGATGACTTACTACCAGGCCTATGGCTACTTTCCTGTGTAAGATGAAGCTAGTGAAACAGGCTTTAGTTTTAGAGTTTATATTCTTTAGGTTCAGCGTGAAAAAATATTTTTTCAGTACTCAGAATGAGGGAATAGTGAGAATTTGAGTGTTGCTTATTAGATACATTTAATCCTGGGTTTGGTTCTCAGTACCCACATGGTGGTTCACAATCGTGTGATGCCTTCCCAGGGCATCCGACTTCATCTATTGGCCTCCTTAGGTACTGCAGGCATGTGGTGGACAGACACACATGCACACAACATCTATACACAAAAAGGGAAGCAACTGAGAATTGGGTAATTTGGGTTTGGTGATGATAATCTGCTGTGTCGAGTACATCAGATGTGACTAGCTTGCCCCGCGAAGGGGGAAAATAGTAGACACTCACCAACAGCAAAAATAAAACAGGTCCATTTCTGTCCCACTGCTCTTGTCTCCACATCCTCCAGTTACACTCTTTCCCTTCCACCGTGTGCCCTTAACCATGAAGCACAGCACCAGAGCAAGAAGTTTGAACCTGCATTCCTAGTGTTTGAACGCTAACTCTGCCGCTTGTTGGCTTGGGCAGTCCCAGAACAAGAGGGCAGTCTCTTAGCAACCGTAAACTGGCTGTGGCGGGTGTTAGTCGCCCCAGGCACTGTGCAGCACTGTCCCGTGTCCACAGATACGGCCACACTATTTCGAACAAGGTACTCAGCTCGGTTTGGCCAGACTTGCCATAGTGAACACATCGAGATGATCCCCTCCCCTCCCTTATCCTGCAGCCCTTTGTCAAACATCTGAACTGGCCCCTAAAATCTGTCTCCCCTATCATTTTAGCTACCCTTTAGCCACCTCATGCACAAACCGTAACTGCTTTAGTGTCCTGTTAAGTGGCTTTATAAAATTCCAACTTGTGATCAGTTCAAGCAGCTTAACGCTTAAAGCCAGTCCCCTCCCTCTTTCCCTGGAAAACTGTGAAAGCCATTAATTACTTAAAAAAAAAAAAAAGATTAGGAAAAAATAAAAATAAAAAAAGGGGAAGGGAGGGAAGGAAAGGTTATCTGGACAGTAAACCTCATGTTTCAAGTCATTTATGTGGCAAGGTGCAACCTGTGTTTAAGTGTAAAGTTATGTCCTAGTTTGCTTCTCTGTTGGCTGTGATAAAACTGACTAAAAGCAACTTGTGGGAGGAAAGGGTTTAGTTTGCTTTCAGGTTTTCTGTCGTATCAAGGGAAGCCAAGGAGGCAAGAACTGAAGCAGAGACCATGAAGGAACCCCGCTGGCTGGTTCCCCTAGCTTGCGTTTGTTCAACCAACATTCTTAAGCAGCTTGGGCCCAACTGCCTAGGGGTGACGCTGCCCTCAGTAGAATGGGCCCTCCTACATCAATTAGGAATTTTTTAAAAAATGACCCACAGATACATCTGTCCCCAGGCTAGTGTAATGGAGATATTTCTTGAGTGAGTTGGGGGTCCCCCTTCCCAGGGATGTCAAATTGACAAACCCAGCCATCACAGTAGTAGAAGCTGGTCACTTGCCCCCATGATATCCCTGCAAACTGCCTCAGCTCTTCACCACCTCCAGCTCACCACACTGGTCCCTCCTAGCTTGACAGTCCTGTCTCTTCTGAGGAATCTTGTCCCTTTTCCATTGCTCGCCAAGGTTTGGCTTCTGAGGAATGATCCTGTAGTAAAACAAAACAGGCACACTTGTTTTGGGGTAGTTTGCTCTCAAGTTGTACTGCTGCATATTAAGAAAACAACTTCAGTGGTTTGGACAGACAGACGGCATGCTTTACCAGTGGCGCAGCCACTGCTTGCTGCTGTTGGTGGCTCTGGGAAATTGGCTTAACTCGTCTCTGTGGGGACTCTCCTTAAGACATGGTCTCCGGTGATTCTCTTCAGTACACATGCTCTGCCAGCTCGAGTGACTGCACCTTCGCTTTGGCTAGAGCAACTCTGCTGTGAACATTGTGCCTTTCCTAGGTACCAGCCACAAGATCGAGAGAGCTGTCTGGGTTTGCAAGTTGAGATGGGGGACTTAGACTTCTCTGGAAGAGCCGTCAATTAGTGTGAGACACACTTATTCATTCATTACTTCACATGGAGGGACTTATGATGTGCCCCAGCTGGGGGATGCAGGAATTACTGGATATTAAAGGAGACCAAATATAGATAGAAGATGGTGGCAAATGCTTGGACCTCAACAGCAGGGCCGGAACAGAAATGGAGGGTGTCCTTTTGTTGGTGCCTCTGAAATAGCAACTGAGCATAGCGTGTGATTGCCCTCCATTTAGGGGCCCAGCTTTAAAACAAAAAGCATAAAAACGTATAGTCATTTATAAACACACTATGACATTCTGTTTCTGAGAGACCCTATGCCGTAGCTGAACCCCAGCTGCAAGGTACTATGAGCTGAAGATGGAGGCAGGCAGGTCCAGGGCTGGAGTGCAATGATGGGGTGATTTACTGACTAAAGAATGGTCAAAGGTATCATAGCTCTCAATTTGTGTTTTTTTTTTTTTTGGGGGGGGGAGAGGCGGGGTTCAAGACACGGTTTCTCTGTGAAGCCCTGGCTGTCCTGGAACTCACTCTGTAGACCAGGCTGGCCTTGAACTCAGAGTGATCTGCCTGCCTCTGCCTCCTGAGCGCTGGGATTGAAAGTGTGTGCCACCGCCACCCAGCTCACAGCTCTAATCTTAAAGGGAACAAGAGAGAGTTTATTCTGGAGCCATTTGAAATGATCATGATCTGCGAATGTAGATTTAGTTAGGTCACTCCAAATTCCATGTTCCAATGTGGAAGCGGTTCCGGGAAGCTTTACAGTTGTATGGATCATAGAAAGTCACACATCAGGGCAAGTTTAAAATGCATTGTTGGGTATATCAGAGAGGCAGGGCCAGCACAGTGAGATCCGGGGGGTGGGGTGGGGGGTGGGGTTCTAGGAGTCTTAGATGCTGTCTGATAACATTCTTAGTGCTTGGGTTGGTGGAAGCTAGTGGTTGGCTAAGTTAGTAAGATTCCAAAAGGCTTTTATCTATTAGTCACATTAGTTCTGACACAGAGGAGGACAAGGAAGGGCTGTTTCTGGGGGACAGAACTAGCCGGGCATAAAGTACGCAGTGTCTGGACCTGGAGTACCCCAACCCCTGCGGTTAGAACTGCAGCTCTAACAAGTCGCTCAGTGTCTGCAGACACAGCCTTGCCCTGAGGAGTTTTACTCACAGCTCACGGCAAGGCCAGTGGAGGCTAGAAGGGTTTTCTAGTGTGGTCAGGACAATGGCTGCATTGGGACGATCATCGTGATTCCGGTGGAGCGGTGGAGCATTTGGGCGACAGACCCCTCTTTTCTTTAGGCACTCACTGAGGGAAAAGGCAGCTTTTACATTTCAGTAGTTGGGAAAAAAAAAAACCAAAGAAAAGCAGGGCTTTGTAACTCCTGAGAAATTATTTGATGCTCTAGTCAGCCTTAAAGTGGGTTTAAAATTGGCTTTTTAAAAATATTTTTACTTTATGTGTATCGGCATTTTTCCTGTGTATGTGTCTGTGTACCATGCGCCTGTGGAAGTCAGAAGAGGCCACTGGATTTCCTGAAACTGGAGTCAAAGATAGTTGTGAACTGTCATGTAGGTGGTGGGAATCGAACCCTGGGCCCTCTGGAAAAGCTGCCAGTGGTTTTAACTGCTGAGCCATATCACCATCCCCTATTAAGCGTTTCTTTTCCTTCTTTCCTTTTGGTGGGTGACAGGGTTTCACAGCCTTGGCTGTCCCAGAACTCATTTTGTT